TGTCTATATATACCTATATGTTGGTCGGATATTGTCACAAACTCATAATTTTTAATGTACATGTTGGTTTAATCGCAGAAAAGCCACCAAATAATCCTCAATGAGCCCAAATGTTGCGCTCGGATGCATATTATAAAAATAAAAATACATAAATAGCGTCTAAGTACGTCATAGATAAACTCAGAGACACAGACACACTTACCCAAACCAACCCCGACCACCGGCAACTTGCCCGCTCTCAGACTGAGGCACGTTGCCTGTGTGTCTGTGTGGAAGACGCAGACAAATTATGGACAAATTACGCCGACCTGGAAATGAGCAACGGCTATGTCGTTGGCCATGGAGCTGCTGGTTCATTATATGCGCCGCAATAGATGCGCCCTTATTGTCGCAAAGCCTATCCACCACAGCACACCACCACCCCCAACCCCAACCCTACCCACACGCCCATTTCCCCTTAGCCGCGCATTGTTGGCGTGCGTTTGGCGTTTGTCGACTGTTTGGCTTTGGCTTTGGCCCGACTATATTTAAACTGGAGGAAGTCAGCGCCAGGACGGTGCTGAGCCGACTGGTTAGCTCTTCTTTTTCTTTTTATTTTTTTTTTTTATTTGTACTCATATGTGCGTTTGTCTCTATGTTTGTGTGTGAGTTGTGACTTTTTGCCGCAACCATTTCCGGTCGTTTGTCGCCATTTTTATAATGCGACTCTTTGCTGACGGCAGTTGTTGATTCCATTGCGTCTCTTTTGCCAGCCCCTCCCACTCCCACCTTCAACGCAGACTGTAACTTTTTTAATTTAACAACATTGCAAATATTTAGGTCGCTGCCACGCCCATTCGCTATGGCGTACTTAATATTAAAAATGCAATTTAAAATACATTTCTTCAGAGTAGCGTTCCACCCAAATACAAAAAAAAAAAATATACTGAAAAATTTTGAACACAGCGATTTCGGTATTTTTCTTGTAGTTCTTTTTTCGGTATGTCGAGCACATTTTGTATTATTTAGTGAAGTTCACTTGAGCGTACAGTCAAAATGAATGTGGGCGTCGCCGTGAGGTCGGTTGGCGGTAGGCTAGCGGCAACGGATAAGCCTTGTCGGCCTTTTCCAGGAAATTGAGGCAGCTGCGAAAAGCGAGCAAAGGGAAATTGTTTCAACTGCAGCTGCAGGTGCAACACTTGCAGCTGAATTTCACGATATTCTTCTGGTCTCGCCTCTGCGCTGAACTACTTTTATTCGTTTTGGACAAAATGCTTGAGTTGAACGTGGTGCGGGGGCGTTGTAAATATAAAACATGAAATATTCAAGAGACAGGCTTTTAAAATATTGCTTAAAATGGTATGCTGCAGGCAGGTGAAGTGGCTGGGGAATGAGAATGGCGCTGGTTACTCAGGATGAACGCCATGCGGGCTGCTTTTAATTGAAGTCTCCCCCAGGGTAGACTCCTGTAGTGCAGCGGCTTTAATGCAGAAACCCTTTACAAAGAAATCAATATAAAAATCTGTAGCACCAATTCGGATTTATTTATTGAATAAAATGTATATAAAATGCAATGATAAGGTGAAGAGTATTATATTATTATTTTTTACAATTTTTCACAACATTTCTCTATAAGAATAATTAAAAAAAAAAATGTTTCTTAAATTTCTTCAAATAACCACATTTATTTTCGTACAATTGCCGCTTATGGTTAGCTTTTCAAAAAATCAAATAAAATATAAAGCATATAAAATAAATGTAAAATTTCAATATGTTTCTCAATTGTTTCAAACTTATATTTTAAGCTGTACGTGCTGCAGTTGAAAACTGTTGATAAAAAAATTGGTTCACATGCAAATGCAGTTGCAATTGATGGAATGGAAGAGTGGGCTGGGGAGAAGAGGGTGGAATACTAAAAGCAAACCCTTAACATGGCAACGTCACGAACTCGAAAAACCAATGACAAATCGCAACATTTGTCAGTTTGAAAAGCATGTCAAGCGACTAAATTACCGTTGTATTCGCGTTTCTGCTCGTTCGCTCGCAATCACTCCCTGCGTCTCTCTCTCTTCGCTTATTGATTTCGCAATTTTTCAAAAACTTTCTTTGGTTTTTCCTGTATTCTATGCTGTTCTATATAGTTACTTTTTGCCAGTGCCATGTCGCTGACTTTGCTTTGTTATAGAACTCAACCGCAATTCATTTGAATTCAATTGTCAAACGGCTAACAACAAAGCCAAGCTGTGTGCGGGCGTGTGTGTGTGTGTGTGTGTGTGTGTGTGTGTGTGTGAATGTGTGAATGTGTGTGTGTGTTAAACTTCCGGCATAGCTGCTGGAATAGTACAAGCCATAGCAGCTGTGTTGAGTCCGTGTGTCCTGACTAAAGGTCTTGCATTATGCATTTTGTGGGCAATTTTAATGTGATTTAAACGACATGAAAGAAAAAGAGAGAGAGAGAGAGAGAGAGAGAGCGAGAAAGAGAGAGAGAAAGGGAGATAGATGACACCATATCAGAGCCGAAATGCTTGAGGGGTCATGAACTAAGTTTACTGTGCACATTTAAATGAAATTGCTGCGCTCAATTTATGAGCTAAACGCCACCAGGCATTCACAAAAACACTCACAAATGCACTCGCAACACTGATGGCAGGGCAGCAGACAACGAGCGACTTTGTGGCAACAGCAAAAACTATGCTGCAAACAGCAGCAAGAACATTCAGCCGATTCCACTGCACTCACTTCCTGCTCATTCATTTCCATTTTCCACTTTTATTTTTGCTATATTTCTAAGGCAGCGCATTCGCTGCTATAGTTTTATGAATATTGTTTGGCTTTTTAGCTATTAGCATTGTTGCTTTTTGTGTGTTTGTCTGTTTGCAGAAATGTGTGCATATTGCTGGCATAATTGAATGGTTTTTGTTGTCGCCAAGTTGGCTGCGTTTTCGCCACCATGTGCAAAATTCTAATGTGCCATTTGTTGACTCTTTAATAGGCGTTTCGTAATGGGTTCAGTGACTAGCAAGTGCCTAAAATATGTCAATAAAAAATCACTTAAAATATATACCAAGCATTAATTAACGTTGTGCACTTATTATCAACATAATACGCAATATGAATAATTATACTGTGAATACTAAATAACTTGGGGATAAATATTAATAATAGGTCATTAGCTTATCACCATTATTTGCATATTACTCTAGTTCTGCTTACAGGGTTAGGTTGCTAGGACTATATATAAGAAAATGTTATGTGTCTTATTGACTTATATGGTAAATGACTTTGGTTACTAAAGGATAATAATGATAATAATATAATAATAATAAATTATTTTAATCTGAGTCCCAGCTATGTCGTTAAAATATATTAGTAAATAAACGCATTAGCTGATGCAATAAATAGCTACATGTTATTTTTATAAGTTTTGCCTATGAATGTAATAAATTTAATACATTTAAGAAGTTTTAAAAATTGCACATAAGAAAATTTAAGGAGAACAATTGAGTTCCATATTTAATAACAACGTTTTGACATTTTAAATATTCGTGTGAAAGTTGAAAATAATCTCAGCTAAATTAGTTGTAGTTTCAAACTGAAAAGCAGTTGTTAATCGCTTCAGTGCTTTAGATTATCAAGTTAATTATTATATTTTGTGGCTTTGGCCTTAGTTTTGCAGTGCAAGTCGTACTAGCTGTGAAGCTAGTTAGCAACTAACAACTTAGCACAAGTTCGTAGCTCCAATCGTAATCTCTCTCAATAAACACTTCCACAGCTCTTAATTACCCAATGCAAACTTAGTCAAGGGAAAAAAGGAGCGAAGAGGAGAGTAACAGAATGTGGGTTGTGCTTTCACCTGAGGACGATGACGACGATGGCGCTTGATTCGAGTTGGTAGTTTGATGCTTGGGAAACTTGAGGTTGGGACGTGGCAATCGACGGAATGTCATGCAAGTTTATCAGCTTGTTTGAGCTGCGTGTTGAACAAAAAACGTGGCAAAACTTTCAAGTCAAAGTTTTCATGACTCCTTTGTCAATTACCTGTACTTGGCTTGAAGAGCCTAATGCCTGCCATCAAGGTACAAGGTGTATTTCTGTATGCCTGAGCATACACAATATGAACCTATTGACATTTCGATTGCGTATAACTAGGATAACTACATATAGCATGTTTACATGGCACGTGCGGCTGGCTCACAGGCTGTTCATCCTTTTCCTCTTGCCGCTCTCCTGCGGGTCACTCAATTAATACAGCTGTGCGAAAAGTTTTTCGGCTATTCATTTGCTTAGGCGAGGAGACTTGCTCAGGACCGAGACTTGTATATAATTTACGAGCTTTGTGTGTGATGGCCGGACGGAGCTAATCTATCATTATTGATTGGCATCCAGTTTTTCTCGATACTCCCTGGCATTATGTAATGGCCGGCATAATGCATGGCCATTTATTTATAGTCCGAATCCCAAAGTGAAGCAAGACAAATTTTCTGTACTAACCGCATGAATCTCTGTTTTATTTTCTTTAATTGCAGCACAACATTTGGGGACTCTGTGGCAAACATAATTCCAGTGTCAACATGGCAAAAGGATTTAAAATTAAATTTTAAGCAGCTGCTGGAGCTCGAATGAAGTAGCGAAATATGTGCAACACGTGCTCGTTATATTTTAAATATTTATAAACACACACATACACACATCAACAACTTACACGGACTGACTGCGAGTATGCATGTGTGCGTGTGTGAGGAGCACCGCTAAAGTTGCTTCGTCGCCTCGGCAAATTCCATTAAAAATTCATCTTAACGGTTATGTGTTTTGACAAAAACAAAAATAATATATATGTATACATATATAACAGGAGCAACAAAAACAAACACACCATAAAGAACAAACAGCAAGAGCGCCATCTGAAAAAGGGCTACTGTTTGTAAATATTAAAATGAATTTATGTGCAGCGCAAAAGTTTTTAATTAAGTGAAAAAATTAAAGCAACAACAAAAAGGATTGAGGGAAAAAAATAAAACATAAAAAAAGAAAACAGCAAGCAACAACAACAACAACCACAACAACAACGAACACGAAATTTGTCACCAGGACATACCCAAAAAGCCAGCAAATCATTTTGCCTGCACGTGTGTGTGTTTGTGTGTTTAGTGTGTGCATATTTGAAATGATGTTTGCATAAAACGAAGCAAATTTTGTTGCATTTTTTATGCCAATGTAGCCGCTCGACCTGTACACTACTCACAGCACATACATTGAGAATTTACGGGTTACATTTGAGTTTGCCATTTGGCACAGTGAGAACAAAAAAATAATAATAAAAAATACGCCTAAGCGAAATGGGGTCCAACATGAAGCCGCCACTAAAATGCGCACCATTTATTTTGTGCCTCATCATTGGCACTCTGCACCTAACCGAGATCGAAGCACACGAGCATGGCGATGGATATAAGCCAGGTAAGCACATACATACGTCAATATATATATATGTTTATCTATAGTTCAAAATACAACAGCGAGCAAATGCAATTTATTGACGGGATATTTAACGATTAGTGAAATGAATTTAAGCTTTAGTTGACAAAAAATGCAATGCCTTTAGTATTTTATTATTATTTTTTCAATACCACCCATTTCTTGATAAGCTGTCTAATAAATTTCCACTTGTATTTCAAAAATATATTCCATTTTCTGTGTTGAAAACAATTTACGGTCTCATTTATTTAAGTTTCTCTAACCCAATTTAAATGAAATCGATGATATAAGGATTATTTAAATCACGCGACTCGGATTTAGTATAGACTCAATAATAATAATATAATGAGTGTTCCTTTACAAGTTCAAACAAATTTCCATCTGTTTTTGAAAAATATCTGCGATTATCCATTACATAGAAAAATATAATGTTTTTAGTTTGAATGAAAGGGATGAAATAATATATGCTGAACTCATGCGAAGCGGATATGGATAAAGATTTGAAAATAATAATATAAATATATTTTCATGTGTATACAGATTGTGATTGTATTAATTGTTGCTTGTTTGATCCGATGATGTACAGCTATAGGGTATCTGCAAGTTGAACAGTCCCATGCGTACTTTTTAATACATATTGACAACATTTTAATTAATATTATTTATTAAAATGTTTCTCGTTGTGTGTGTTTTCCGAATGTACAGTGGCTCTGTGTACAAACAACATTGTTAAATTGATTTTTGTTTAAATTTATGCTTTCTTTTTGTATTGCGTTTGTGTTAATCTATTGAATGACCTTTAAAGTTTGTGTATCTTGAGTGATTTTAAAACACTTTCACTTAATTTATTTATTTTTTTTTTTACATTTTTCTATGGCTTGGCTCAGTCTAAGATTAGCAATATCAAATTAAATTAAGGAGCAGTGTCGTAAAATTTTAATTGCTCATTTGAAACTTTTTTCGAGGTCTTTTTGTTTGCCATAATCAAAACAAAAGAAGAATGAAAAGAAAACTTTAGAGCAAAAAAACAAAATGTTAATATGCATAAGTAAATGTGATGCGCTTACGAAAATAGAAATATAAAACATCTTTTAAATTGCGTTAAATTTTGACTTCAATTTATGTCTAAAATCTCTTTTAAAAAGATTACGAACTTTTAATTGTTACATTACGAAGTTAATTTTGAAAAAAATGAGATTCGAGTGGGATTGAAACACAAACTATCAGCGTTTTCAATTGTATTTAAAATTCGTTTTTTTTTTATTTTCATGCAATCATTATATAATTGTTATTGAAATCTGAGCTGTTGCCTGTGTATATTATCCATTTTGTTCATGTCGATTTAATATGCTTTATTTTTAACTGCGGTAGTTTCACACAAACAAAAAAAAGACGTTTATTTTTATTTTCAGTTTTGCTGCAATTATTTGCAATCTTATCTTTTTCTACAATTGATTTGTTCATTTATTCTTCATGAGCAATTTCACAATTAAAAAAATCCCCTCTTTTTTATGGCGAGGTTTAAACTATGCTAAATTGATGGTGGTTATTATTAAATGCTAGATTTAAGTGCATTTTACAGTGCAATGGAATAAAATATTTTTTATTGCCAGCTTATAAAAACGCTGTAATCGCTTTTGTTGTTTCATTTGTCTGTGTGGAAGTTGAGCTGAGCGAAAATGTTAAATTAATAAATATAAAATTATGCAATTTATACAACTTCATTATTAACTTTTTGTGTCCAAGAGGCGACATGTGCGCCACGCTCGTTTATTGCTCTTGTTGTTATTGTTTTTTTTCGGTATATATTTATTTATTTTCTGCATCGTAGTCACAAATCCAAAAGCGTCACCTGCGTCACCTTCCTCATTGGTGCGCAATGGGCCAGCCACGCCCCATTGCCTTATCCCTGCGGTGGCCACTTTTGCCGAGCTGCATAAATTCTCATTTTTATGTGTCTGTGTTGGACTTTACATTAGCTGGTGTTGTTGCTACTGCTACTGCTGCTGCTGCTACTGCTGCTGTTGATTATCCCTAGAGTGCTATATAAAAATTTGTGCTCGCATTTTGTTGTTGATCTCTTATTTTCGTTATATGCTCAAATTTATTGCGCTGTTCACATTTTCATGAAGCATCCAGGGAATTTGTAAAATGAAATGAAGTGAGGAAAAATGAAGTTAACCAAATAATATCATATACAGCATAAATTGAGTGTACAATATATGTTGTAGAGCATTAGTTGCGTCTGCTTGAAGCATCTGCGATTGCAACACATTTTTGTTTGTTTGTAAAATCGCTTTAATTTCATTACGCAACGCTCGAAGCTCGCGCGCTTACATAATAATTAGTAAAATAAATTTCACCTAAATAAACACGAGCATACCTCCTGCTGAATAAGGTAGAGTGTGACATAGACAGGTAGGGGAGCGAAAGAAAGAGAGAGCAACAGCAAAGAGTAAACACTGGCAAAATCGGGCAGGCAACCAGGTAACCAACGTCGACGGCATCCCTTGGCAAAAAGGTGCTGCAAATGGCCACGTCAAACGCACGTTCGAGCTCCACTTATAGTTTGCTTTAAGTCCTCAACGTTAGCAAATTATTTTTCATCATTTTTCACGCAAAAAGCTCACCATTTTTGCTTTTGCAGTTTCCAGCACAGCAGCAGAGATGGTGTGTGGGCGGTGTGTGTTGGAATGGGCAAAATATGTCGACAGAGACCCAACGTTCTTGTCAACAGGCCACGTTCGTGTCCATGTCCGTTGTTATGTCGGTGTCAGTGTTCACGTTGCCTGGAACTAGACTGGGCAGAAAAGCGCAGCCAACAGCTGCTACCGGGCACCTCGGAGACATGCTCTAAATGAAATCTAATTAAAGCGTACAATGAACGTGCAGCCTGAGTTGCAATGCAATCAAAGCTAGCGACATTTTTGAATTATTCGCAACGAAACTATGCCTTCAAATGAACAGAACCTGTATAAGTTTAAATTGCGAAAATAGTTTAAATATGGTCCGAATATTGGTTAGTTGACGATTGGAATAATGTAAATGGGTATATATATAAAGTTTTTCTGCCAATCCACATCAGTTAAGAAAGTTATATTCAGCATCGATGAAGTCGATTACAACACTGATGTTTCCATGGATGCATTATTATTGTAAATTATTAAAAGTGAGCACTATCAAATGTATTAAAGCCTCGGCTATATTATAAGTGTAAACATGTATTAAAATATAAAGAGAATCGTTAAATGTATGACAAACAATCGAAAACAAAATGCTTCAAAGTTATTTCGCTTACAGATACACAATCAGAATGAGTGTCATATATTGGATTTGGCTATATGGCGGTGACCACATCAATGCCAAATGCTTTAGAGCTTAATAAAACAAACGTAATACCACATAAAAGCAGAGAGCACCAGCAGTTTGGGGGTAAATAGGAATAAAGATAGAGATAGGGATTGCGATAGCAATAGATAGACTACCTGGGGCAGCTGGCATAACATGCGATTTCTAATTCAATTTCAGTGACAGCACATAAATAAAAGAAACATTTTAGAGTTGAAGCAGCAGCCAAAAGCAGAGTAAACGAACCAAAAACTGTAAAAGCAATTCCTTGGCAAAATAAAAGGCACACAAATGTCACATTTCCCAGGCCAAACACAACCACAACTACAAAATGTTGTAAAGCATGAAGAGGAAAATAAGAAGAAGAAGAAGAAGAACTAGAGTATTGCGACGAATCGTTTACCAATTTTCTGACTGCTGCAAATCAAACAAAAACCAAAAAGCAAAAAAAAAAAAGGAATAACTGAAAATAAAAAGCAAAGAAACAGAATCAGCAGCAGAAGCAGAAGCAACCGAAAAACTTTTTAAATTAACTAAAAAAACACACACACACACAAACAAATAGAAAATCGGGCAAACCTAGGGAGAGAGAGACAGAGAGAGAGAGAGAGAGAGAGCTATATGGGAACGCGACACGTTGTCGCTGGTGTTGGCATTCGGTTTGAGTATTTTAGAGGAAAGTGGAAAACTTTTAGTGGCATGTTTACAAAATAAACTTCAACTTGCAAAACGGCCACAACAGAAAGAGAAATAAAGAAAAAAACTGATTGGTACGAAGCAAAAAAAAAAAAAAAAATGGAGATGATTATGTTTGGGCTGCCTCCTGAGTCAAGTGAGCCCCATTATTATTGTATATGGCATAACGACTATGACGGCCATCAGCTGACACATATTTTCAGTGCAAGGTAAGACACACAGGCACATACACACACACACACATATATACACACTAGCACAAGCACAGCCCCTGCGAAAAGTTTTTGGCAACTTTTGTTTTGTTTGTTGTCATTGTGGGCCAAAAAAAAAGTTTTTTTTCTCTTCTTGCTTTTTTTTTTGGTGTCGCTGATGTTTTTTGTGCTGACAGTTGGCAAACAAAGCATAATTTTTAATCTGAATCTGGCCATGCAAACAGTGTTACACACACACATGCTACTCATACAAATACACACATTCGTAAACTCACACATAAATAAGCATACAACGGCAGCTACACCTGCACATGGCTTTTAGCCTGATTGTTGATAGCCGGAAACCAACAAAAAATTATGTTTATTTGGCTTTGGCCTCGATTTGCCAAAACAATTTTGCAGCACTCTACTTTACGAAAATTGCGCATACGCAGCGTGTGACACCTGCACGCGTTTTTCTTGTTTTATTTCTGTTGGTTTTACTGTTTCTTTCTTTTTTTTGTGGCGACCAGCCAAAACGTGACAATATCATCAGGTGCGTATCTTTTCTTTGCCTCTGCCGGCGTGTTTGTTGATATTGCATTTTATAGTTTTCGAGTGGTGCACACGTAGCTTAACAATTTCAGACTTGCCACACCTCATCAACCATGGTGTGCAAACTTTTCCACAATTGTAGTCTCCTGAATAGCTATAAAAAGGTGCAGTCTATTTTAAATAGCGCAAATA